CAAATCAATCAACCAGGAATGGCTATAAGGCTTTCACTTTTCTTTTTAAGGCACTCTCATCTCATATATTGTAAGACTATAGCTTAGAACATCAGTATACCCCTAGGGAGGTTCTGAGGGCAGCCCTAAGCTGCCCTCCTGATGTAAATTAATACTACCTACCTACCTACTCCTCTTAATATTCTTTAAGTTAGCCAACAAGAATTGAACCCACCATATGATATCCAGTTTACGTGGTTCATCATTCAACCCTACTTGACCTACATTTCAACATATTATATTTACTATTATTATTGTATATAGAGTAATCTACGAGTATAATACAGTTGTATTAATGAGCTAGATAGTGTATAAGCTAGTATTATCGCCATCACTAGCGAGGGTACAGACAATCTTAGCACGTGTTCTAACAACTATACAGTACTCTTATACTCTCCACTACTCATCACCCATCACCATTTATCACTTATCACCACTATTTCCCCATCTTTACTGAGTACTCTCCACCACTTATCACTACCCACCACTCATCATCACCCTCCACCACCCATCACTACTTACCATCCATCTATCAATCCATCCATCCATTACTTACTTATACACCTAAGGCCGAGTATTTTCTATTACCGGTATTCTCTAATAGAACTTGAATTATCTTCATCTTCTAATATCAAGAATATATATATATCATTAACGTATCATTATCATTTATAATACTCGAGTAATAAAACTTCAATTCTAAATATTTATATCTATACTTTTTAACACAAGCCAATTAATCATTTAATAAATTCACTTATTCTCTTATAGAATGCAAAAGCTTTACTATATGCATTCAACTTCACTCGAATTATATACGAGCTCTGAGCCAAACGGGCCCTAATTTAAATGTAAACAAGTCATGAATGTAAATTTGGATATACGCTTAAAGGACGGCCAAGTATCAAGAATCATAATCTCTTCCCTCCCTCTCAAAGGCATACCCGTCATCCATCATAACATCAATCCTACTCATCACCTCATCACCTCATCGCCAAAACTGATCATTACTAACATAAAGCGGCATACTATCCTCCCACATCGTATCCGTCAAGAGAGTTTTATTACCACCATCGCCATTCATGGACATGATCTGACCATAAGGTTGAAACGCATTATCGTAAAGGGAACTTTCCTCTCTGAAACCATACATTCCACTACTATACAAGATCCTCCCATCATCGGTCCAAACGGCATGAGCATCGTTTGTACCAGAGGTTGTGAGTTGAGTGAGGCCTGTTCCGTTGGGATGGATGGTGTAGATATCGTAGGAATCGGTTGAGCCAAGATCTGTGAAATCGAGATGGTTGCGACGGGTGAAGACGATACGTTCACCGTCCGCAGACCAACCGGGTGTGTTGTCCCATGTATCGGTGAGGTTGGTAATGGTTCCATCGGTGAGATTCAAGATGCGGAGACCGATACAGTAGAGAGGAGCGGGACCGCAGTCACGGTAGACAATTTGAGTGCCGTCTGGAGAGAAAGAAGGGAAGCCGGAGTTACTGACACCAGCTTCGCCAAAGGTAAGTTGCTCCGAGTATGAACCGTTAGCGGTGGCTCGGTAGATCCATCCAGGCTCGATGGAGCGGTCGAAGAACCAGGATCCTAGACCAAAAGCAAGCCATTCTCCATCGGAGGACCAGGAGGGCTGGAAGGCTCCAGCTAAACCTGACGAAGTGTCGGCTGTGGACGTTTGATTCGTGGAGAAAACGTCAAAGACTAGGTCGAGGTCTTTTCCATCTGGGTTCATGCTAACAATGGATGAATTACCAAGTTGCTTTTGTGTAATGGCAAGAACGTTTTGCTTGGAAAGTGTTGGGAAGACATCGGTGAAGCGATATTCAAAGTCACCATCCCAGCTGTACAATGGCTTTTCCATAGGACGAACTGGGTCGAACGCTGATACCTCATAGATCACTTGAGTTCCATCTGGTGACCAGGAAGGGTTACGCATCCCTCCCAAGAAAGAGGTATAGTTTGTGGTGCCAGTGCTGTTGTAGTTGAGACCCTCGTTATCACTGGAAGTGCCCTTAGTGTTGTAGCCGACCACATCCAAGGTTACGAATTGACCATTGACCTTACATCCCTCTCCAGAAGTGTGGTATACATAGTCGATTCCGGTAGCAATGTCGACAGATGCAATTTGTGTGACAGTACTGTTGATGGAGCCCGTGTGGGCATTGTAAGTATTCTCTCTGGTCATCTCATAAAAGATAATTCGTTCGCCGTCTGGAGACCACTTTGGAGAACCAAGAGAGTAACCGTCTTTGGTAACAACTTGTGCGAAGTCGGATCCGTCAGGTCGAATCTTATAAACGGAAAGAGTCTGCGTATGTTCCCAACCAGTCCCACTATTATGTCCAGTCCAGCCAGTATTGCGATCAGAAGAAAAGGCAATCCATTCTCCATCAGGCGACCAACTTGGACGGAAATGGCCATCTGGGAAAGAATTGTCACCAGCAGTGGTTGGTGTGTTGGTCAGGTTGAAGGCAACTCCTGTGGCGAGGTCCTTAACCCAGATGTTTGCCGTGAAGTTTCCTTGGGTGGAAACATAGGCAAGTGTTAATCCGTCAGGTGAGAGTACACCTGCATCTTCAAAGGATGGGGTTTCGACCAAAGACTCTAATTTAGTACCATCTGTCTTGACTCGGTAAATGTCCGATTGCCCATCTCCGTTGCGTTCAGTAGTGAAGATAATATACTGACCATCGGGAGAGAAGTTTCCATGGTAGTCGAATGAAGAGCTGTTATCAGAGAGAAGCTGACGTTCATTGCTGCCGTCCGTGTTGGCGATATATAAGGTTGATAGCGATGGGGCAATTCTGTTCATGAACATTACACCCTTCTTTCCTGGATCCGAACCATTGCCGGAACGAGGGTAATGGGCTCTCGGAGTATCAGAAACGCATCTTCCAGCATAAGGGCAAGCGCTCTTCTTTTCTTGAGCATCAGCATATGGGCAAACACCAGCTACAGCCTGGCCGAAGACCATGCCAAAGGCTGAAACTGTAGAGAAACGCATCTTCATTTCTTGTCCTTGGAAGACCTAACCTAAGAATAATTTAGAAGAAAACGAAGAGGATAAGGATGAAGGAAGATTTATGGGGAGACGGATCGACCTTATATTGGCTACCTCAAAGCACAAATACCGAACTACCATGCAATTTAAACATGGCCTCGCTTCCCTTCGACAACCAAGAATACGTCAGTCGAGGTGCTAACATTACATACCAGGTTCCTAATGAACTGAAAAGTCTTATGGAACTTGCTCAGTACCCACTCACGGAAATGGCTTCCTCGATAGGAATTCATGGAATGGGAAGAAAAGTTTTATCTGATCGATGATTTGACCATCTGATAACAAAAAGTCGTCAATCTGGACCATTAAGCTGGAAATTGGTATAAAGTATCCACTTTATCCGACGAAATTGAAGACGGAGACTAGGAAAAGACACTTGAAGCTTGTTGAAAATAACCGAATGTCCGAAGAAACATGCAATATGTCACGGTAAGGTACGGAGCCAGTGGGAGCTGTGTGATAGCATCTTTCGATATAATGTTGACTTCCCTATTGGCGGGAGAAGATGAGTGAAGATGATGAAACTATTCAACGGCAGCTAATCAGAAATGGCAAACCCAGGATGCCTGGCTCCATATTCTATAAGGGTTCCAAATTTGTGATCGCATTTGAAATGATCAATGATCACCCCCCTGGTCCTATATTGTAAGTATGAAGTCTCGGGACCGAGAATACTACCTGGTAAATTCCCATGTATAAGACCCATTTTAACTTGAATTTTCAACGCTGTGTTAGTTTTCTTGATGGAGAGGTGACGTTGAAAGCTCATTAACGCAACGACGTCCGATATCTAGAACTTCATTGAGGTTGCATTTCTGATTTCGAATGTATGTATGAAACAAGCATATAACAGCCATCCCGTAGCATTGAAAGTTGATCGATTAGGCATAAACCACCTAACCTTACCACAGATGGCAATCTATCGATATCGCTCACTTCCACTTCGCAACTTGCAACTGCAGTATCGTAGATGGCGGAATGAGGTATGTTCGATGAATGATGAATAAATGGTACTGGGAGAGTGACTGACTCTGGCAGAATTTTCGACGCGTCCAATGGCTTGGCACGTTGAAATAAAGTTGAAAGGGAGAAGCATTTTTGGAACTATTCGTAAGAAGTGGTTTCGGCACGTCCGACAACGAGATTTTTGATATTCGCTCGGGACCGAAGAGAAGAAAGAATCCGAAGAATGATAAGATGGTAGAGTATAGACTCTAGAGAAACAGTAGATACGATTCTGTGCTAAAATAGTGGCATAGTGGCGTAAGTCCAACAGTTGAACAGTTCTACGATGTGACATTGGATTTTGACATTTTTCTGGTTCTATTCTAGAATCTGCGTATGTTTTTCATATGTTAGCCTCAAAACTCAGGCATCAAGATAATAAAGCTTCAGCGGCTGCACGTGTTTGCTTAAGGTTTGGGAAAAGACTCAATTCTCAGACGAGAACTTGCGAGGGGAAGGTACAGTATGAGTCTTTGAAATTCTCTGAATTGAGCAAATGATCATTGGCCGCTTGATCGAGTACCATAAAGGAGAGTCGAGATCAATATATCGATGACAGATATTATTAAAAGGACAGAAAAGGACTCTACAACGAGAAGATCACTCATAATTTGATCACAGAGTGGCTAGTACACAACAAAGTGTACAGAGGAAGATGAGTGAGCAGTTTCTTGTATGGAAGGCTTTAAGTTACTAAAGTTTTTTTTATCATGCTCGAGTAGGAATATGAAAGATGAGACATGGGGAGAAAGGGGGAATCTATGATATGGTTCATACTGGCTGAACGAGGGCTGATGCAACCTGATTATGAGGTTTCTGTACACAAGTACATAGAGATATATTCTTGGCTTTCATGTACTGTATAACCAGCAAGAATAGATCTCGAATCAATCTGATCTTCTGTGCTTATACACTGTGAGTATGACTTTTTGAATCGCCATATATCCATTAGGAACAGTTGTTGAACGATAACTCAAAAACATTTTGATTTATGTCTAAGAATACCAGTAAGTCTCTTGATCAAGATATCTCCATTGAAATGATAGGAATGAATTCCTTCGTTACCTACCTAGTACTCCACAAACTATTGCCTCAACTTGACTTCTATCATGACTTAGGAAGTACCTAGGTAAGTAAGTATCTTATATCAAGTATTTATACAACTCAAGAATGCCATGAGTCTCCAACCCTAATGAGTTCCTCCCTTGTCACAGTATCGATTTATCGCCGCCAAAATTATTCCCAGCTTTCCAGTTTGCCCGGCCCTGACCGAATCAAACCAATTAATTCAATATTATATTACTCGTAGTATATTTAAGTTGGTGTTACAAGATACCAATTCACTCAATTAGCAAGAGCCAACCAAATTCCGTTACCTCTACACCCTCTGCCCTTTTACTTTCACTAATATTACATAAGCTAATAGACTCAGACCAAGCAATAAAAAGATCCTTGTAATAATTAATTATAGTCTATATCTATCTATTCTTTAAACCTCCTCCTTCAAACCCTCATTTTCTCTACCTATCTATGTTCTTTTGTTCTCTGCCATCAGCATAAACAAATAACCCAAAAATACTAGCAAGATTATTTCCTCAATAATTTAATTCAAAGGGAAAAAAAAAGAAAGATTTCTTTATCGAAAGCTATTCTCTCAATTAACTTAAATATTAGTCCGCCACTTTTGCCCGCATTTTCATACTACTTACTACTTGTAAATCGAATCAAGATTCAAGATTACCACACATCTTCTCCACTTCTCACCGTAACCCGATTACTACTGACAGTTTTGCGCTAAGCAAAAATTTCATTCCCACAAATCCTTATCGACAACTTTTCTCACCCCCTCCCCTCCTCTTTTCTCTTCTTTTTACAATGCCTTCTATCGAAACACCATCAAATCCAACAATAATAGGAAAGATGGCTGAAAACAAAAATTCGATCAAGGTCTTAGATGACTTAATGTCGAAGTTGACTGTTTCGAAAGAGCAGACCGACATTAATGCTGCCACCCACAACCTCGCCATTTTCATCAACGGCGATATCGAGGAGAATGATGCACCCACCAAGTATGTATTTCGAAATTCAATCTTCAACCTTTCATCATCGAGGTGGAAGGGCATTCAATAAGGGTTGAATATCTACCAAAGACTTCGCTCTTGGATGTCCTCTTGTTCGATTTTCATGTCGAGGTGGTAATCTTACGGTCGCACCTTGAATTTTGATGATTTAAAATTTTTCATATGCAGATTTACTAACAATGTGTCCTCTACAGAACCGTCGATGCTTTGAAGAAGCAATTGGCAAATAAGAAGGATGCCGTTGTTAGAGAACGCGCTCTTAATGCCATTCAGGCAATTGCTGAGCACTCCGAAGTCTCTCCCTCCGTCGAACCATACCTTATTGTCCTCCTCTCTTCCGTCCTTGCCGCCGTTGGTGACAAGATGGTCCCAGTCAAGAACGCCGCACAAGCAGCCGCTTTGGCCATCGTCAAAGCTGTCAACGCCAACGCCGTCAAGGCTGTCCTCCCTCCTATCATCAACTCCATCCTCACCGCACAAAAATGGCCTGAAAAGATGACTGGTCTTGACTGTATCGAGGCTCTCGTTGAGTCAGCACCAACTCAATTGGCTCTTAGAGTTCCAGATCTCATCCCAGTCGTCTCCGAATCCATGTGGGATACCAAGCCTGAAGTCAAGAAGAGAGCATACGGTATCATGGAGAAGGTCTGCGGACTTATCGTCAACAAGGATATCGACCGTTTCATTCCAGAGTTGATTAAGTGTATCGCCAAGCCAGAAAACGTCCCGGAGACTGTTCACTTGCTCGGTGCCACCACTTTCGTCACTGACGTTCACGAGCCAACTTTAGCCATCATGGTTCCTCTTTTGGATCGTGGTCTTAACGAGCGTGAGACTGCTATCAAGAGAAAGGCTGCTGTCATTGTCGACAACATGTGCAAGCTCGTCGAAGACCCCAACATTGTCGCCGCTTTCTTGCCAAAATTGATGCCAGGTCTTGTCAAGAACTACGACAACTTGGCCGATCCTGAGGCTCGTGAAAAGACCAGACAAGGTCTTGACACCCTCAAGCGTGTCGGTGCCGTTGGCGCTGATGGAAAGATCCCAGAACCATCAAATGCTGGTGGTGTCTCCACTGTTGAGGCTATCCTTAAGGATATCCTCAGCTCCAACAAGAACGCTCTCAAATTTGAGCCAATTATCACATACATTTCCGCCATCGCTGGTCAACTCATTGACGAGAAGGATGCCGACTCCCACAGCTGGAATTTCAACCTGAAGCCATTTGTTGTCGCAATTGCTGGCGAGGATGAGGCACAATCGGTTGTTGACAGCCTCCGCAAGCGTGCCTCTCCAGGTGCCGAGGCTGAGGATGCCGAAGAAGCTGATGATGAGGAGGGTGAGGATCTTTGCAACTGTACCTTCAATTTGGCATACGGTGCCAAGATTCTTCTCAACCAAACACATCTCCGTCTCAAGCGTGGTCAACGATACGGTCTTTGCGGTCCTAACGGTTCCGGAAAGTCTACTCTCATGCGTGCGATTAACAACGAGCAAGTCGAGGGTTTCCCAAAGAAGAGCGAGGTCAAGACCGTGTTCGTAGAGCACGATCTCGATTCCGCAGATACTGAACAAACCACCATTGCCTGGACCATGAAGAAGCTCCGCGAGGTCGGTGTCGAGACCTCCCAACCAGAGGTCGAGAAGCAATTGGCCGAGTTCGGTTTCACCTCAGACATGACCAACAACATGATCACTGCTCTTTCCGGTGGATGGAAGATGAAGTTGGCTCTTTGCCGTGCTGTCTTTGAGTCCCCAGATATTCTCCTTTTGGATGAACCTACTAACCATTTGGACGTCAAGAACGTCAAGTGGCTCGAGGATTACCTTGAGAACTCCCCTTGCACATCCATCATC